TCTCCAAGGAATAGCACCTCTTAACAACATGTCCAAAGTATGTTATGCAAAGCCTCATCATTTTTGCCTCCAAACAGCACTCTTGGCTGCACCCTCTCCAAGACATATCGATTAATTTTCTTGGCTGTCCATGGAACGTTCAGTGCTCTTCTCCAACACCACAGCTCAAAGGCATTAACTCTTTTCCTGTCATCTTTAGTCACTGTCCAGGTCTTGGATGCATAGCTAGTAACTGGAAATACCACAGCCTGAATCAGATGTTCTTTAGTCCTCAAACTGACATCACTGCTCCTCCATAGCTTGGAAAGGTCCCTAATTGCAGATTTTCCCATTGCAATGTATCTTCTTATTTTGTGACTGCTCATGCCAACAGTGTTGTGGATCCAAACAAGATGAAGCTGGTGACAGTTTCAATCTCCTCTTCACCCATCATGACACCACCTATAACCACTGGTAAGAATCTTTGTTTTCTTGATATTTAGATGCATTCTATACTGAAGGCTGCATTCCTTGGTCTTCTGCAATACATGCTTCAAATCCTCCTCATTTTCAGCAAGGAAGGTTGTATCATCTGCATAACGTAGGTTATTGATGAGTCTCCTTTCAATTCTGACACCACACTCTTCTTCATAGGGTCCGGCATTTCGGATAATCTGCTCAGCATATAGAATGAACAGGTATGGAGACAGAATACATCCCTGACGCACTCCCTTCCCAAGTCCATGCAGCGCTTCCCTGCTCTGTTTGCACAACAGCCCTGATCCAAGTATAGGTTCCTCATGAGCACAATCAAGTGCTTTGGGATTCCCATTCTTCTCAATGACAGTCACAACTTGTCATGATCCACACAGTCAAATGCTTTTGCATAGTCAATAAAACACAAATAAACATTTTGTTGGTATTTCTTACTAGCAGCCAGAGTCCATCTGACATCAGTAACGATGTTCCTGATGCCACGGCCTCTTCTAAATCACGCTTGAACTTCTGGCAATTCTCTTTCTGTTCCAGCCATTTTTGAGTGATCTTCAACAGTATTTTGCTAGCATGTGATATCAATGATATTGTTCAAGAATTTCCACACTCAGTTGGATCACACTTCTGGGGAACAGAAACAAATATAGACCTCTTCTAATCTGTTGGCCAGACAACTATCCTCCAAATTTCCTGGCATTGATGGTGAGAGCATCCAAGGCTGCAGCTGTTAATTGAAACAAGTCAATTGGTATCACATCGATTCTTGGGGACTTATTTTTTGCCAATGTCTTTAAGGCAGCTCCTACTTATACTCCCTCTTTCATTAGCTCCTGTTCATATGTTACTTCCTGAAATTTTTCAGTGTCGATGAATTCTTTCTGGTAGAGTGACTCTGTGTATTCCCTCCATCTTCTTTTAATGCCTTCTGGGTCATTCAATATGTTGCCGATAACATCTTTCAACATTGCAACATAAAGCCTAAAATTGTTTTTCAGTTCCTTCAGCTTGAGAAACACAAAATGAGTTCTTCCCTTTTTATTCTCTAATTCCAGCTCTCTGCACATGCCATTACAATACTTTTCTTTGTCCTCCCGAGCTGTGCTTTAAAACCATCTGTTCAATTCTTCTACTTCGACATTTTCTCTTTAGATTTGGCTTCCTGATGTTCCAGAGCAATCTTTAGAGTCTCTTCTGACATCCACTTTGTTTTTCTCTTTCTTCTCTGTTTTTGTAATGACCTTTTGGATTCTTCATGGATGATATCATCTCACAACTCATCTAGTCTTCTATCATTGGTGTTCAATACCCCAAATCTATTCGTAAGATGATCATGAAATTCTGATGGAATTGATTTAAGATCATATCTTGGTTCCTGTGGACTTATTTTAATTTCCTTCAGCCTCAATTTGAACTTACATATAAGTAATTGATAATCTGATCCACAGTCTGCCGCTGGCCTAGTTTTGACTGCTGACATTAAGCTTCTCCACAAATGCAGTCAATCTAATTCCTATGCAGCCAATTGGGTGAAATCCATGCATAAAGTCATCTTTTGTGTCTTTTAGAAAAAGTATTGGATGTGAGGGTGATCTAGCTGTGACATCTGTCACCACACTGATGGCCAGGTTGACTCAGCTGATCTGGCTGGCTAGGTAGTTGTCCCCTTCCTCCCTCACTGATCCATGTGCGTCACTCCTGAAGCTGTGTGCTCCATCGAAGAGGACAACCTTCCCTGATAGAAGACTGTCCTTCAATCACGGGTATATTAGAGTAGCTATGCTCCCCTGATAGAACCTCCAAACAAGCTCTCAAGAAAAAGTCTTTTCAATGAAGAAATCATTGTAAATACAAAATTCAACCATTCCATATCCTATATTTTATTATAGATAATATATATAATATCTAATACAATATATATTAGATATTTACTGTTGTTGTTAATTGTTGTCAATTTGAACATGACTTATAGTAACTCTATGAACAAAAGACCTAATGCTTTTTCATAACTACTGTCAATTCTCCAAGGTCACAGAATTTCCAGAGGCATGTGGTTTAGGAAGTGGATGCCATGCCTGCTTCCAAACCTGTTTTACAACTGGTAGCTCCACTAAACACTGTTCCCATTGAGAAATTATTCTGTTATTTGATACCCCAATGGTACAAGGTTAAGCATCACAGCAAACCCAGGTTAATTCATACAGCACATTGACAAACAGTGATGTACAAAGTAGAAGAGTGTTCCTCCAGATATACAAGCATTAGTTCTATTTAGAAGTGGTTAAATGTCAACAAGTAAAATATGACTGAGAGTAAGTTTTGCACAGAAGACCTGAACTCTGTTCTATAACTAAAATCATTTCTGTGTAGAACTCTGTTCTATAACTAACATCTGTATAATATATATTCTTACATAACTATATATATATAGGCATTTTGAAAGCAGGACTAGCATCCAATTCTTAAACAACATGGCTCCGGAAACTCTATGAGCTGTGATAAATGTCGATAGTTATAGACATTTGTACCTATAGAAAGGCTTCAGGCCTTTTGTTGATACGGTTGCTATGAGTCATGTTCAACTCGAAGGCAATCAACAACAACAACAACAACATAGGCATTATCTGTATGACAACAGTCCAGAGTAAGAGGTGCATAACATAGTGGAGTGGGGGAAAGGGTGGGGGGGAGGAAGGAAATGATGTAAAAATGAATGAATTTTTTTTAAGTGAATGGGAGGATGAGGGAGAAAGAAAAAATGTACAACAATGAATGAAAAAATTCAACTTTTCTGTAAATTTCTGTTAAAATCACAACAAAAGCAGGGGGGGAAGCACAAACAAAAATCAAGTGAATGTTCTGTGAGTTTTGACAACTACATATAAATATATGCAACTACATCCAAAACAAGATAGGAAACATTTCTATCACCCTCTCAGTTTTCTGCCATGCATTTAAGAACTTCAGCTACCATGCATAAAGAAGCTCTGGTGGCATAGTCTGTAGGAAGCTGAGCTGCTAACCCAAAGCTGGCACACCTCTCTGGTGGTTCGAATCCACTAGCTGCTCTGCATAAAAAAGATGAGCCATCTTCTCCCATATAATTTACAGCCTCTGAAAACCTCATGAAGGGTCAGCTCTGAGTTGCTTCCAACTTGACAGCAGTAACAGTAAGTTACTAGGGATTAGAATGAAGTGCAACTTTTAAAATACTTAATTTTATGAACAAGCTTATTTTACAAGTATTTAAACTTGTATATTTCTGTATTAATGACCTAGTAGAGAGAATAAAATCCTGTTATGATTGTTAATTTTATTTGGTCAGATATTAGTTGAGATTTTATTATAAAGGATTTTGATACTTATAATCAGTTGATTCTAAGCATATAAAACTACCCCAAATAATTTAGGGGTCTTCATCCAATTAGTAGGAATCTTTGGAGTAAAAATGGAGGTGGTTTTATAATTATTATTATTGTTGTTCTCGATTGCCTTCAAGTCAAGCACGACTCATAGCGACCCTATGAACAAAAGGCCTGAA